AGAGAGAGAGAGAGAGAGAGAGAGAGAGAGAGAGAGAGAGAGAGGAAGGAAAAAAGAGAAAGAAGGGGAGAGAGAGAGAGAAAAGAGAGTGAGAGAGAAGAGAGTGGAGGAGGAGGAGAAGGAGGAAAAGGAGAAGAAGAAGAAAAAGAAGAAGAAAGAGAGAAAGTGAGAGGAAGGGAGGGAGGGAGGGAGGGAGAGAGAGACAGAGAGACAGAAACAGAGACACAGGGAGACTTGACTAGACCAGGTCTTTGGCTGCCTGTGCTGGGAGTTGTCTTTGTGGCTCCACTTACCTATAGAGCATCAGAATTGGAGCTGGAGGACTTGGGTTCTAATCTCAGCTCTGCTGCCTACCACCTGTATAAGCTTGGGCAAGTCACATGATCTCTCTAGGCCTCTGTTTCCTCATTTGCAAAATGAAAGAGTTGAACTACATGGTTTATTTTTCATTAAAATTTTTTTCAATTAACAAAAATCTATTCTCACTTCCTTCACTTTCCCATCCTCCGGTGGAGAAAAACAAAACTCTTATAACAAAACTGTACAGTTGGATAAAACAGATTCTTTCATTGGCTATGCTCCAAAATGTAATAAATGACTTTTGAGGTCACCTCCAGCTCCAGATCTATACTTCTGTGATTTTTATGACATTGGGCAAGTCCCTTGACCTCTCTGGGTCTCAGTTTCCTCCTTTGTAAAATAAGGGGGTTAGACTAGATGTCCTCTAAGGTCTCTTTCATCTCCATGACCTACATGACCTTCTTGGTGATCCTCTGAATTGCCTCATCAATAAAATCAGAGGGTTGGACTAGTGACCCCTGAGGTCCCCTCTATTTCTCAATCTTTGATCCTGCCTCGGGAACATGGGATGGTTCAGTGTGATCTGAGGAGCTGAGTTTCCTTGCCTTACTTCCGGAGGACTGGAAAGAACGACCCTCATTCCAGCCTTGGGCTGCTGGAAGGATGCATCACCTTAGGTAGATCCACTTGCAAAGGTGAGTGAAGCTCTCTGAGAGCAGATTGTTTCATTCCCCAACACCTAGTCCAGTGCCAGGCACATAGTAGGTGCTTAGTCTGTGCATGTTGATTGACTGAAAACCATTACTGGTGCAAATCACTTAACCCTGTTTATCTCAGTTTCCTCATCTGTCAAATGAGCTGGAGAAGGAAATGGTAAACCACTCCAGTATCTTTGCCAAGAAAACCCCATAAAGAATCAGACAGGACTGAAAAAACAGCTGAACAACAACAACAATAATTGGAAATAAAGAAGATGCCCATCAATTGGGGAATGGCTGAACAAATTGTTGCATATGAATGTGGTAGAATATTACCTTGCTATAAGAAATGATGCATATTATGACTACAGAGGAAAATGGAAAATTTTAGGTGAATTGATGCAGAGAGAAATAAGCAGATGCAGGAAAGTAATTTACACAATAGTAAAAATAGTAAAAAAAAAAAAAGGAAAATACACAATAACTATGTTAATAGAAAAAACAGCCGCCACAAAAAAAAAATGGAAATTGCATGTTGTGAAACTATAAAGAACAAGTCTGGTCCTAAAGAGAGCTATGAGAAGACAACCTTTCCCCTCTCATCTACACTCCTTTGCAGAGAAGGGGGTCCACAAGAGTGGAGCCCCCCTTCCCAGAGAGAGGCAGACTTTTTTGATATGTTGATCTGCTTTGTTGAATTCATTTCGATTCTTCTGTTTCTTTTGTTTAAAAACAGATTCCTTTTCATAAGGGGTGGCTCTCTAAAAGAGGCAATGTGAAAACAAAGCTATCAATAAAATCTATTTAATAAAATCAATGAAAAAAAGAAAATCACCACTGGCATGTGCCAGTGCATGCATGCGCATGTGCCAGTGCATGCATGCGCATGCACACACATGAACTAAACACTTTGTAATTATGATATCCAAGCTAGGTCCTAGAGGAAAAAAGGAGAAAACACTTTCCTGCCTTCGTTGTAGAGGTGGGTGACTATGGGTGTGGAACAATCACATGGGTTGTCAGAACTGGTTAACATTTTGGGTTAGTTTTGTTGAACTGACTTTTTCCCCCTTCTCATTCTTTTTTAATTCTCTGTTACAGGTGTGGCTATCTGGGAAGGGGAGGGAGAAGGAATGAAACAATATACTCTGAAATAAAGGTGATCGATTTAAAGAAACAAGATATAAATATTTAGACGTCACTGATCCCAGTAGCCTTTTAAGTCATTGGAAGCTCAGCATGGAGAGTAAGCGTTAAAGATGAAAGTAGGGGCAGCTAGGTGGCGCAGTGGATAGAGCTCTAGCCTTGGAGTCAGGAGGACCTGAGTTCAAATCTGACCTCAGACACTTGACTCTTACTAGCTGTGTGGCCCTGGGCAAGTCACTTAACCCTGTTTGCCTCATCACCCCCCTCAAAAAAAAAAAAAGACGAAAGTAAAGAAATGGTTCTATCCCCATAGTAGAATGTAAGTCTCCAAAGGTGAAGATTGTTTTTAGGGGGGAGGGAGTTGCTTTGCATTTATAAGTCTTTTTGCTACCATGCACACAGTAGGCACTTAATAAATGCTCTTTGGATTGTTAGATTGGAGAGTAGTCAGACATTTACTCCTCATTCTCAGCCCTGCCAGGGGTAATCCAGAATCCCCATTCTACTCCAACCTTTAGCTACATTTCCACCTCCCTCCTACTGATGATTATGGGTTCCCTCAAGGCTCCCTGCCCTATGGGGCAGACACTATGATACATTTTAAGGGCTCCTAGGCTTTGCTATACACCTTGAAGCTGAATCTGCCTGTGTATGTCATCTCTCTCAATTCGAATGTGTGCTTCCTGAGGGCAGGGATTGTGTTTCACTTTTTTATTTATATCCCAGCTAAAAGTTGGCACAGTGCCTGGCACATAGTAAGTGCTTATTAAATGTTTTTTTCATTAATTTTCCATCCAAGAGACTCCCAGCTGTAGAATCTTTTCCAGTAAGATTAACCCAGACCACTGTGAGGATGATATGGGACAGTCAGAGATGCAGAGCTCAACAAGGTCCATCACCAACATGTTTTAATAATAAATGAACTTACAGACTTTGTTCCCTTGCAATGTTTACTGAAAACAGACATCTCCAAGCAAAAAAATGTCAGCAGCATCTTTGGCCTTCGATGGAAACTGGGGATGCTCTTCCTTCTGATGCAATCCCCTTGCTTTCACAATGGGAAACATCACATTTTGAATCAAGTACTGCAGGCCGACGTACGACGCTGACATGGAACCTAGTTAGTCCCCTTCTCCTGGCCCCAGAAGCAAGCCGAGTTTGGCCTTTGCAAAAAGGCAGGCTCTCCCCGCTGACATCTCATGTTCTGTCCACCAAAGAGGGCCACCATTCCCCCCAGGAGGCATGAGTGGCACCCCAGACCACCCCTGGGATGGTGATGTCATGAGCATTGGCAAGGGATGGCAGCAAAGAAACTAGAGCTGAGGGACGAGGACCTGAAAACTCAGCATCCCCAACCGCAGCTTTGGAAAAATACTGAGATGTGTGTGGGCACATGTTCTGATTTCTCTGTACATCTGTCCAGGCTCAAAATCTGAATCCCCCATCATGGCTGGTGCTTAATAAAGAGAGGCCATTCAAGTGGGCCTTTTCCTTCTCCCACCTTTTACCCCCATAGAAGAGCCAGCAATTCAAGATACTGGGCCCCCAAATTGCCTTTCCAGGGGGTAGAAAGGAGGTTACCAGCCCAGTCCCTCCTGGCCCTCTCCAGGAACCAGAAGCAAGAGCCCTCCTTCCGTCCCTCCTTTCTGTCCTGATGTCCCAGCCCAGCTGGAGGCAGTTGTGAGAGGTGGCTATCCGATAGGAAGGATCCCTGATCCCCGTCCAGTGAGAAAGGGTCGATGCTGGGAACAAGCCTGGGTACAATGGACAAAAACACACCTGCCCCCATGCAGTGTGGATATGGGAGTTGGGGGAGGGGCAGGGTCCTGACCTGAAGGTCAGCAATGGTGATACCACCTGGTGGTATGATTGGGCAGTGAGCAATGCCAGGAGAGCTCTGAGCAGAGAGAACGCTGACTCTTTCCCATTCCCAGTTTCAGAAGCACTACTTGGACCTGAACAAAGGGTTGGGAGGTTGTGTAGTCCCCAAGTGCTTTGGATTGACCTTCCTCTGCAAGCCCAGACCATCTATAATGCCCAGGAGAATTGCCACTGAGCTGGGGACTCAGGACCCAACTGGCTGCTTGATGGCAGAGGCTGACCCATCAGAGTCCCCTTCTTTGCTAAATGTGTCGTGGAGTTGGGTCACCTCCATGGACCTTTCGGCTTTTGGCTCTCCCGTCGTCGAACACCTGGATCTGAATGGCATCTGGTTGGCTCATGACGTCACTGGACCTTTGGAGCTTGGCAGTGGGCCAAGCGAGAATGACAGGCTACTAACAAACCTCACCCCACTATCACACAGACAGAGCAACCCCCAGAACAAATGCATCCCCTGCCATCCCCGAGGTGGTGCTGGATGAATATGAGTGAACGGTATTAAAGACACAAATTCCTTTCGGTCCAAATCCACAGGTCTGGAACTTTGACCCATGACGTTGGCAGTGACAGCCTGATCCCGCTGGGAATCACCCCCACCTCCTCCCTCTCGGTCTTCCCCGACATCTAGCCTCTCTAGCCGCCATCACTCTTGTGATCCAGAATTTGACCTGGTCACACCCATGTTGTGGGAGCCTTTTCCCACCATCTCCTGACCCCACTCCCGGTGGCTGGACTCCTGAAGACCACGGCCTTTGGTTTCAATTGGCAGAAAGCAGGAGGCGAGGGCAGCTAAGAGGCAGCAGCCACTGTATACCACCAGAGTCAAGTAAACAGACGATTCCAACATCACCTGCAGAGTGAGAGATACAAGATGCTGGTGACAAATCATTTTGGGAGTTGGGCCTTTATGGACACTGATCCCCTAAATCTAGATGTCATGTTTTTCTGCTCAAAGCTCTTTTCCGTATGTGGTCTGAGAGGCAGTCTGGTATAAAAAGAGCATTAGGTTTGGAATGAGAGGACCCGAGTTTGAATCCTGACCCTAGCACTTACAACTTTTATGACCTTGGCCCCATCATTTCATCTTTTGTCTTTAAAAATGGATTTGAGTTCTCATGGTTTTTTAAAACCTGCTTCTTCTTTCACAACTGTGACTAATATGGAAATATTTTTCACTTGACAGTCCATATATCAACTGGATCAAACTGCCTACCATTTTCAGAAGAGATGGAGGGAGAAAACTTTAGAACTCTAAATCTTGTAAAAATGAATGCTAAAAATTTTCTTGGCATGTAATTGGGGAAAAAACAAAATACTATTCATTCTTTAAAAAATATTTATTTGTTTGTTTTAGTTATCAACATTCACTTTTATAAAGTTTTGAGTTTTACATTTTCTCCCCCTCCCTGCCCTCCCCCCTCCTCAACTCAGCATGCAGTCTGATATAGGCTATACATGTACAATCATATCAAACATATTTCCACATTAGTCATGTTGGAAAGACGAATTAGAACCAAAGGAAAAAATGAGAAAGAAAAAAATTAAAAAGAAATTAAAAACCAAAAAATAGTATGCTTCAATCTGCATTCAGATTCCACAGTTCTTTCTCTGGATGTGGATAGCATTTCCCATCATGTAAAATACTATTTTATAGAAGTGGATTTGAGGGTGCATTTCATGAAGCCTGGTCTAGGCATGAAAAAAATAATATCAAGAGCTCTGCCTGGCATTCTCATGAGGACAGACTTGCTTAAGAGTAAGGGCCTGCCATTGCTGTCCCATCCCCCACCCTCTGACTTCTTCTCTTTCCCGCCCATGATATCACCTACCTGAGCAATAAATGGAGTGATGAGGGCACCCACTCTTGCCATGCCACTACAGGTGCCCAGTCCCAGGGCCCGGGTAGCTGTGGGGTAAACCTGAGAAAGAGAGGAGCCAGATGTTAAGCTCTCATCCAGGGGATCTTATCTATTTTAAGGTCACAGACCCCTTTGGTAGTCTGGTGAAGGCCAGGAACCCCTCTTTGTAATAATACTTTTCAATGGATAAAATAAAAAACATGGGACTACAGAGGAAACCTATTGCATTGAAATACAGTTATTGTCTCTCCGTGCCCAGCGTCAGCCAGCCCCCACACCCTCTGCTCACCAAAGCTGCCCCCTTCTCACCCAGACCCTCCTACCTCTGGAGTGTAAACGTAGGCAGCCTGAAATCCTCCTGAAATGAAAGCCCTTGAGATGAACAGAAGCACGGTGAGGACACTTCTAGGCGAAGAAAAGAGAAAGATGCTTGGCCAAGAGTTGGTTTGGCAGGGAAACGTTTTTCATCAACACTCTGGAAACCAGCAACAGTGCCCTATGTATTCTAGGTCCATCTCCCATCCGCCAAGGCCTGCCCTGGTAGTCCTCACTATTTCACAAAGAACAAGGATGGGAGGGGGTAACCCTTGGGGTGAGCAGAGGGAGAAGGAGAGGTGGTGGATGGTCTCCAAGTCAAGGAGATTGAATGCTGACCCTGGAGTCAAGAAGCACTAAGTTGGAGTCTCACCTCTGACGCTTATCACCTAACTTCTCTGATACTCCCTTGGAAAATGAGAGGGCTGGACTTGTGGTCTTGTGAGTGTTGGACATGGAGTTTGGAAGAGCAGAGTTCAAATTCCACCACTGATAATAACTGTGTGACCCTAACTGAGTCATGTAATCCTCTGAAACTCAGCTTCCTCATCTGTAAAATGGGGCAGTAGTTCCTGTGCCACCAATCTCACAGGGTCATTGCAAGGCTCAAATGAGATAATGTATGGGAAGCACTCTGAATATTTGAAAGCATTATGTAAATAATGTTAGTTATATTAAATTAACATCAACATCATCACTGTCTTCAAGTATCCCAAGTAATACCAGAGTGTGCTTAGTTGGGGAGATTGAGCAGCCGGGGGGGGATGTGAGGGAGGCAACCAGGGGCCTCACAGGGTGCGCAGGGCAGGAAGCTCAAATAACTGGCAATGGGCATAATACGTGTGTGAAAACCAGGAGGTATCTGCAAGCCTCATCAATCAATCAACAAGTATTTAAGTATCTACTGTGTGCCAAAAACAGAACTAGGAATACAAAGAATAACTCGGTCCCTGCCCTCGTTCTAAATGGGGAGAAAACTGGCACTTATAGAGGTACATAGAAAAGAAACACAATTTTGGGAGTGGGCAGGGAGGGTGTCAGGGAAGACCTCACGTAGGAGACGATGTCTGAGCTAGTCTGAAGGCCTGAGAGCCTTCTCTCTGAAATCATCCCCAATTTCCCCTGCACATATCTTGTATGTACCTAGCGTGTTTGCATGTTGTCTCTCTCATTAGACTGGGAGTGTCTGGAAAGCAAATTGCCTTTTGCCTTTTTTTGTATCCACAGCACGTTAGCACGGTGCCTGGCACATAGTTGGGGCTGAATAAACGCTAATCCATTAACTGAGTAAATAAAGCCTTTACCTTTCTCATCAACCTTAAGACATAATCATGACAATAATAACTGCCATTTCTATGCACTTTTAGGTTTTCAGAGTTCTTTATATGTGTTATTCTATTTGAGCCTCACTATAACCCTGTGAGTCATCCTCTATGGGTATTATCGCTCCCATTTTACAGATGGAGAAATTGAGGCTCAGAGAACCACCTACCCATGGTCACAAGCCTAGGAAGCATCAGAGGCCGGATATGGATATGGAGTTGAACAATTTATCCATTATACCATACACGCCTTTCCCAACCTGGTGGCCAGGAGATAGGATGGTTGGCCCTCTACCCCATTATCCATTCTTGACCCTACCTTCCAACGCAGATGAGTAACAGGAGACTACAGAAGGAGAAGACGAAAAAGGAGAGGGCCATTGTTTTCTTTCGGCCTAGACGATCGATGATCCACAGAGTCACAAGGATGCCTGGAGAGAGAGGAATAGCATTAGCCTGAGGCCTGACAAACTGGGGTTGGGGGAGGTGTTGGGGGACCAGGGAAGATAATCAGTGGCTCTTCCCAGCCCTTGATTGGCTGTAGCTGGGGACATCAAAAGCACCATTTCATGGATGCCAGATTTATAGAGTCCATCCTGGTCTCCTTAGCTAATTCCATAGCCTAATTGGGGAGGTAAAGTCAGAAGGAGCTATGGAAGATCCCCAGTCAGGACCATACCAGTCTCCCAGCTCAGAACAAGGCATGTAAGCGGTCACTATAAAAAGGCTGTAGCTTTTGGGGAGACAGGTTGAGTCATACAAAAAATTCCCTTCCCACACTCCTGCCATTTTCTCTCCTGATCTAGTACTGACCTCAAGGCCAGAAACAGCCCCTGAACCTGGTTTTCCACTTATCAAAGTCCCTTGGATTTCAATGCTCTGCAGACAGCAAGATAACAACCCAGCATGGTTTGTGCTCTTCCCGATTTGGGGCACCTCCACATCTGCTCCCAGAAGGGGAATGCCCTCTACCCTCCTGAGTTTTTGCTCAATCACTTGCTGATGATGGATCTAAGTCTGGTATGGCAGAACATTGAATTTCCACGTAGCCCACGTTTGAAACACCTTTCACAGACACTAGAGATATCATTACTATGTCTTTAAGAGTCAAAAGTAATGTTGAAAGCAGTTTTACTAGATCTTTGCTTGGCTAATCAGTCACGCCCCTTGTTAACTCTTTCCTTTTCAGTATTTCTCACCCTTTTTCTTTCCCCAAATTCTTGTGGATGGAGCTCCTGCTAAAAGACTGTAGCTTAGACTTGGTGAACAAGTTCTAGAGTTTTCCTTCCTTATTGTTTTGTATCCACGTTCTTCTGCACTAATCACAGTCTAATCCTGAACCAAGATTCTGATTCAAAAGTTCTCAACATCCACCCATGTCCCCTGGATGGTAGCAGCATCTGACCCCCTTCTTCTGAATTACGCATCTCCCTTCATTCTGGTGCATGCTTCTTTTCTTGTTGTTCAGTCATTCAGTTGTGTCTGATTCTTTGTGACCCCGTAGACCATACTGTCCATAGGATTTTCTTGGCAAAGACATTGGAGTGGTTTGCCATTTCCTTCTCCAGTGTATTGAGGCAAATAGGGGTTAGGTGCCCAGGGTCTCACAGCTAGTAAGTGTCTAAGACCAGATTTGAACTTAGGTTCAAGGCCTGGTATTCTGTCCACCGCACCACCTGGCATTAGCACAGATAAATGAGAGGTAAATGAGCTCACGTCTGCTCCAGGTGTGGGAGTAGTCCCAGCACAGCTCAGCCAGATAGTGGCCCTCTGTCTCTGGCTAGGCCCCCTGTCTCTGGCTAGGCCCCCTGTCTCTGGCTAGGCCCCCTGTCTCTGGCTAGGCCCCCTCTCTATAAGCAGGTGGGTCACTTACCAGGAAACTCTGATAAAGTGGTCAAGAGCAGGTCCATGTAATCCTCCTCAGTCAGGTACTCACAAGCCAGGCTACACTTGGCCTTCACAGCTTTCCTTCTGCTGGACACTGGGGCAGGAGGAAGGGAGAGAGGAGGAAAAGTAACATTTAAATGCTTCAGCTAGGACTTTTCAGGACTACCTACTCTCTTTGTTTTCCAATCAATAACAATGAATGACATTTTGTTAATAATAACTTAGTAACATTTAGATAACATTTCAAGGTTTACAAAGCCCATTATAAATATTATTTCATTATATAAATATTATAAATATTATTTCACAACAACCCTGGTATGTAGGTCATTATTATCCCCATTTTATTGATGAGGAAACTGAGGCAGAGGTTAAGTGACTTGCTCAGGGTCACATAGCTAGTAAGTTTCTGAGGTCAGATTTGAACTGAGGTTTTCCTGACTCCAAGCCTAGTACTCTATCCACTGTGACACCTAGCAGCCTGATAGATGTCACCATGTCAAATACTTATAATCTCCAAACTACTCTCAATTAAAAAAAACCTTCCAAAATATAGAAACCTAACAGAGATGGAAACCATGTGGGAATCAGACTAAGGGGAAGCTAGGTAGTATACTGGATAGATCACCAGACCTGGAGTCAGGAAGACCTGAGTTCAAATCTGGCTTCAGACACTAGCTATGTGACCCTGGGCAAGTCACTTAACCTGGTTTGCCTCAGTTTCCTCATCTGTAAAATGAGCTGGAGAAGGAAATGGCAAACCAGTATCTTTCCCAAGAAAACTCCAAATGGGGTCATGAAGAGTTGGGCATGACTGAAAATGACTGACAACAATAACAAAGATGATCGAAACCATGTGGGAACCAGACAAAGAACACGCTGTCTCCATCACCCTGTCCAGCAGTCCAGGTCTCCCAAGGATACTTACAGAAGAAGAGCTTATATTCTCACAGTTTTATTAAATTACAAAAACAGTCATTCGTACACTTTTGGTTAATTTGTTTCATTTGACTCTGAGGATTTGTTACAAAGACTTTATACATTTCTTTCCTCATAAGAGGGTTAATGGAAGGGTGATGGCAAGTAGGAAGCAGTCAGTCAACCTATATTTATTAAGTATCTATTACATGCATATCTATTACACTCTGTCAAACACTGGGGATACAAAGAAAGGTAAAAAATGACACCTGCCCTCAGGGAGCTTACAATCTAATGAAGGAGGTAACAAGCAAAGAATTGTGTACAATCAAGATATATACAGGACAAATAGGAAGAAACAATATTGGGAAGACACTGACATTAAGAGGAATTGGGAAAGGCTTCATCTTTTTATTTTTGTTTTGAAAAACTTTTTAAAATTACCAAGCATTTGTTTCCTCTCCTTCCAATTCCCTCCTTCACCCCAACTGGAAAAAAGAAAGTAAGAGAAAGGAAGACATAGGATGTTGGTGCTGTTCAATCATTTTCAGTCATGTCTGACTCTTCGTGATCCCATTTGGGATTTTCTTGGCAAAGATACTGGAGTAATTTGCCATTTCTTTCTCCAGATCATTTTTACAGATGAGGAAACTGAGGCAATCAGGGCAAAGTGACTTGTCCAGGGTCACACAGCTAGTAAGTGTCTGAGGCCAGATTTGAACTCAGGAAGATGAGTCTTCCTGACTCTAGGCCCTACGCTCTATGCACTATGGCGCCACCTAGCTGTCCATCCTGGAAGCATAGTCAACCAAAACCAATTCCTACATCAGCCATGCCCAAACATGGTTCTCATTGTACACATTGGTCCTTAACCTCCGTCCTGAGGTGAGGAATTTCTTCACTATTGGTCTGCTGAAATCAGGGCTGGTCATCGTGTTTATCAGAGTTAATTGTTTGTTTTTCCAATATTGATGTTATAGTAGAAATTGTGTTTTTTGGGTTTTTTGTTTTTGTTTTTAACACAGAAAAATAGAGAGAAGGACAGTTTTGGATGCTACCTCTTGAACTTACTATTTATGTCAAAAGAAAACGCAAGCTGCACATCATAGCAGAGAGCTGTGGGTTTGTGTACAGTACTTCCTATTCTGCAATGAAGAAAGAATGGCCTATTTTACTGGGTGTTTGTTAAGTCCACAATAAAAATAAGATGGAAAATGCAAACAAAGGCAGTCACCCTATCCTTCACAAAAGTCCTTGGAACATTAAACATAAAAGAAAAATAGCAGGAGGGCCAACGGCAGCAGGACTATTTCTACCTGAACTCTATAAAACAAGATGAGATGCTGGAAATAATGACGATAATGAGAATCGCTCAATTTGTCTAGAGCTTTAAGGCTGCAAAAGCACTTGATGTATACTGTCTTTTTGATTAATCCAGCAAGCCCTTAGCAAGCTCCTAGTCCTTATGCCAGGCCAGCTAGGCGTTGTTATAGTCACAGAGCACTGGGCTTGGAATCAGGAAGACTTCTTTATCTTCATGAGTTCAAATCCAGCCTCAGACACTGGCTAGCTGTGTGACCCGGGGCAAGTCACTTCATTCTGTTTGACTCAGTTTCCTCAACTCTAAAATGAGCTGGAGAAGGAAATAGCAAACCACTCTACTATCTTTGTCAAGAAAACCCCACACGGGGTCACAAAGAGTCTGACAAGGTTGAAATGGCTCAACAGCAACAAAAAGTCCTTATGCCGAGCAAAGTGCTCGGCACTAGGGATACTGAGAGAAAAGTAAGACAAGAGGGTAGCGCCTACCCTCAAGGAGGTTGATTTCTATTGTATGTAGAAACATGTATATAGAAAAGTAATAACAGATAAGTTATATAGTACCTACTACGTGCCAGGCACTGTACTAAGCACGTTATAATTATCTCATTTGATCCTCACAACCACCTTGAAAGGTAGGTGTTATTATTATCCCCATTTAACAGATGGGGAAATTAAGGCAAATAGTGTTTAAGTGACTTGGCCAGAGTCACACAGCTACAAAATGTCTTCAGCCGCATTTGAATTCAGGTCTTCCTGCCTGCAGGCGCCACCCTTTATCCACTGTACCACCTAACTCTCTCATTATAGTAAACATAAATAGAAGGAAATACAAAGTCTATATAATGTTACTACATAGCAGTCTTGGAGGGAAGGTAGGTTGGGAAACACTAACCACTGGGACTTGAACCTTAATTTTTAATTTCTGCCTCTGTCACTTAATTTCTGTGTGACTTTGTCCAAATCACTTTCTATTTAAAAAACATGGTGTGTATTATCACATATATTAACCACAATATGTAGTATATGATGTATTTATATATAAATATCACATGTATATTGAAATATATAATAACTATACAAAATATATAAATAGGTGATGTATTTATATATAAGTATATATTTATGTGTAATAATACCCTCTCAGTCTCAGCTTCTGCGCCTATAAGGTGACCGGATTCTGGTTTTTGAGGTCCCTTCTAGTCCCAGATCTATGCTCTACAGTGTGGACAGGCCTTTCCTAGAAAGGGGCACCTGAGCTGCCCCCTGAAGGGAGGTGGGGTGTCCAAGAAGCAGAGGGGCTGCCCAGGCCCACCCTGTCCAAGGGTCGGCGACTGCCCGTCTAGGCCAGCAGATGCATTATGTTCTGACATTCCCCGAGAAGCTGGATAGAGCAGGTCCAGAGGAGGCTGCCAAGAGACCCCCCCCCCCAGTCCTTCGGGCATCACCTAAGCCCTGGACGTGACTCTGCCAGGCTCTACTCTTCTTCTTCTTCCCTGTCCCCAGGTGGGTTTTGCTCCTGCTACCTCCACTGTCTCTGGAATTACCACTGTCTACCCACTGACTTGCCAGCGCTAACAAGTGCCCATTCCCCATTAATAAGGCCTCCTGCAAGGTCTCTTGGAGTTATCTCTTCTTGGCAGAATCCAAACAAATCAGGTGGACGGGCAACAGGTGAAGCCAGGGCCATAGGTACCGTTCATCCAGGGGCCACTGGTCAGAGCTGAGATTTAGTAGATGCCTTCCCTACTGCAGCTCCATGAACAGAAGGCAGGCAGCCTTGCTCTCTTCCACCATCCTTCCTTGGCCATGGAATCACACCCTCCAACGGCAAGCACCTCTGCACCCCCTCCCCCAGGTCATGGACTCTTGTTCTAAACAGTGATTCCTCAGCCAGGCAAGCTGCCCCATGCTCTGTAATGAAGTCTCAGAGGCAGGGGCTTGGGGGGGGGGGCAACAATAAGGCCTAGTGAGAAAACTGCTCACATTCTGCTTGATCCATAAATTTCTGTCCAAGGCTGAGACTAGGCCTGATACCCTGATGAGCAGGGGGCTGTGATGAAGGACTCAGAGGCAAGGCCTAGGGGGGCTTAGTTTCGAGCCTCAACAGCTGAGGACTCTACTTTCCCCTTAGACCTCTGAGCGCCGACCAAGCCTGGAAGGAAGGCCTTCAGCTGCTGTGCCTTTGGGAACAGGATGTTCTGTCCCCACCAGGGCAGGGGTCAGAAGAGTCTCCCTCCCTGCCATGGTCAAGGCAAGGCCAGTGCCCTCCAGACAGTGTAAGTAGTGACCTTGGACAGCCATGAGCAAAGCAGGAAGGCATGGGGAGAAGGACACTGGATCTCCAGTTCTTAAAGAGTCTGGGTTCAAATCCCACCTTGGCCATTTAATAATGTGTGACCCTGGGCACATCACTGAGTCTTGCGGGACCTCTTTCTTCATCTATAAAATGAGGCAGTTGGTGCCTGGATGCCCTCTGACTTCACTGTTCTCATCAGGGACACTGCTATCCACCAAGTCCCTCATATCCATGTATTTAATTATATTTGTACAGGTTGTGCATCCTGTCCCTTCCTCCTTCCTAACACTCTTCCCCCCAACAAGAAGCAACCAGGTGTAGTGGGTAGAGATTTGTCTTTGGAGTCAAAGTACCACCTCTGGTCTGACTGTGACCTTGGGCAAGTCATTTTCTAAACAATTCTCTAAAAGCCCAAGTTATGAAGAGGATGTTGACCTGCATTGGTAGAGGTATTTTTTCACCTGGGAATTCCCTATACCAATGAGATCACAGGCCCAGCTCTTATCCTCTCTCCCTATCCTCCCTCTACCCCAGCCCCCTCATCAATACAATGTAAGTTCCTTGAATTGAGGCTTGAACTAAGGTGGATTTGTGTGAGAGAAGAGAAGGCGATGGATGTGAGAGAATACATCCTTCTCTCTGAGTCAGTTTTTCCATCTGTAAAATAGTTGAACTAAATGATATCTATGGTCTTTACTAGCTCTATGATCTAAGGTCCCTCCCAGCTCTGACATTTTCTAAGGCCCTTCCCGGTCCTGACATTCCCTGTTCTGAGGGCCCTCCCAGCTCTGACATTCTCTGTTCTGAGGGCCCTCCCAGTCTGACATTCCCTGTACTGAGGGCTCTCCCAGTCTGACATTCCCTGTTCTGAGGGCCCTCCCAGCTCTGACATTCTCTGTTCTGAGGGCCCTCCCAGTCTGACATTCCCTGTTCTGAGAGCTCTCCCAGTGGGACATTCCCTGTACTGAGGGCTCTCCCAGCTCTGATATTTCCTGTTCTGAGGGCCCTCCCAGCTCTGACATTCCCTGTACTGTGGGCCCTCCCAGCTCTGAGATTCCCTGTTCTGAGGGCTCTCCCAGCTCTGATATTTCTTGTTCTAAGGCCCCTCCCAGTTCTGATATTCCCTGTTCTAAGGACCCTCCCAACCCTGAGATTCTACTAATCTCTGGAAAATAAAAAGAAAAAAGCGTTACTACTTACTGTTGCAGACATCTCCTTCTTGAAAGAACTCTGTAGTTAGCAAAACTAATCCATAGTATGAAAATGCATTGGAGAACCTGTCAGGGAGCAAAAGAGAATGGTTGATTCCTGTGATGAAGCTTGCTGATGAAGGCTACTCACCCCTCCCTTCATCCACACACTATCACTATTTCCTTGCACAACCCACCTGCCAGGGACCCATGACTTCTCAGGGCACCAGGGGCCGATTGTATTAATGTGGCAGTTCTAAGTCGTTATGTGCAGGCAAGGACTTAAAGTGAACCAGAGACACAGAGGGGAAGACTGCTCTCAATGACAGAAAACATTATTCAGGGCTATCCATATGGAATCAAAAGCTTTCTTTTGTTCAAGCTCCCTGTGGGCAGAGATTGTTTTATTTTTATCGCTATATTCCCAGCTAGCAAAGTTCCTGGCCCATAGGTACACAGAAGCAACATAATATAAATATTGTGTAACAATACTATATAACAATATATGCTTATTGATTGATACATGGATGGAAACATAATGTCAGCACTAGAAAGAACGTTAGAGATCATTTAGCCCAATGGTCTCATTTTACAGGTGAGGAAATTGAAGTCTTGGAAGGGGCTTGCCTGGAGTCACACATTCTATGTCCCTATTAAATATTCCCATTTCTACAAAATCATCTACAATGACCCTTCACCACTGACGATGACAAATTCTGTTTGGTACACATTTAACACGACATTTTCATGCATTGAAATTCGTCTCCTCTTCCCACCCTTCCTCCGCCCCACACATTTTATCTGTCAAAATAGCCTCTCTCGGGTAGAGACTACATCTTCTGTTTTTCATTTATCACCCTGACTCCACACTATGGTGGTCTCTACTACCAGAGTATAACTAGGGCAGGGCAAATGAATCTTTCCCCTAGGGTGCTGAATATAGAGGGTATGCCCAGCATATATAGATGTGTTCAAGCATGTCACAGGCTGTCACGTAGACTTATTCTGAGCAATGGGTGGAGGTTGCCAACAGTCAAATTTCCTCCCAATGTTAGGAAAAACTTAACACTTAAAACTATATAAAAGCAAAAAAAAATTTTTTTGAGGCAAACGGGGTTAATTGACTTGCCCAGGGTCACACAGCTTGTAAGTGTCTGAGGCTGGATTTGAACTCAGGTCCTGTGCTCTATCTACTGCACCACCTCACTGCTCCCAGAATGGGCTCTCTAGGAAGGGAGCAGGCTTCCCTTCACTGGAGGTCTTCAAGCGGAGGCTGGCTGACTACATGTCTGGGATATGACAGAACGGATTCTTGGTCACGTGCAAACCGGGTTAGATGGGCTCTGAAGCCCCATTCCACTGAGAGAATCTGATTTTTTTGAATCTTAGATCTAGAGCTGGAAGCCACATAGTCTAACACCTCATTTTACAAATGAGGAAACTGAGGCCCAAAAGGTTAAATGACTCGCCCAGTGTCACACAGGTAAACATTAGAGGTGAGATTCCAGTGTTCTTTCCACAAACTCCCTCATCATGTAAAAATAGCAGAGCTTAGTGCCTAGTTTGTGAGAAATAGTTACAATAAGATATAATCAGAAGGTAGAGTGGGCTGTCCTCCTTCCCATTCTCCTCCCACTCAGCTCCCCCAGAAGTGGCTCATACTTTAGACATTTATAAGCTGTGTGACCTTGTATAGGTCACTTAACCTCTGTCTGCCTCAGTTTCTTCAATTGGAAAATGAGGATGATAATCATAGCACTTATCCTCCGGGGTTGTTGTATGGATCTAACGAGATATTTGTAAAGCACTTAGCCCAATATGGCACTTAGTAGGCCCTATATAGATGCTTTCTGTTATGATTAATATGAATGATTGAATACATGAATTAAACTGTCCATTACTCAGGGGCTGACCATTCATTGGCTTTTTTTTTTTTGGCTAGGCAATGGGGTTAAGTGACTTGCCCAGGGTCACATAGCTAGTAAGTGTTATGTATCTGAGGCTGGATTTGAACTGAGGTCCTCCTGAATCCAGGGCTGGTGCTCTAACCACCTAGCTGCCCCCATTCATTGGCTTCTTTAAGGTGCCAACCTCTTCTCCCTCTTGTTGCTCATTTCACAGGTAATTAGCACCTTTCCCAGAGAGTGAGCAAGGAAGAGCAAAGGTGATTAATAAGTGATAAGGAGAAGCAACGATATTTTTTTTGTTATGTGTGAATAACTCTGTTTCAAGGTTTGGTGAGAGAGGAAGCATGAAGGAAAGGGCGAAAGTGAAACATTGGGATTAAGAAAGGAGGATAGATTTCTATCTGGAAGGCACCATGAAGGTGATCTAATCCAATCCCTTCACTTTACAGATGAGGAAAAAGGCCCAGAGCACTTAAAGGCCTTTACAGGGTTACAAGGCACACAAGTATCACAGAATCTCAGAGTTGGAAGGAACCGCAGACATCATCTAGTCCAATCCATACTTGGTCAAAAATTCCTTTTCCAATATTCAAGACATGGAGTACAATGGCCCCAAGTGGAATTCAACATCAGCCTCTAAATTCAGTGCTTCCTACTATAAATGGAGGATTTGTTTTCTCCCAGCAAATTTCCCTACTGATTCAAATATTCAACACTGAGGAATTAGAGATTTAGAGCTGGAAGGGACCTGAGAAGCTGTTGAGTCCAATCCCTACATTTTACAAATGAGGAAACTGAGGCACAGACTTGCCCAAAGCCACATAGGTAGCTGGAGGCAGGTTTGGGACTGGTCCATTGTTCTTTCCTCTATACCAACCTATCTCCCTAGTGCATTGGCTATTTACTGACACCTAAGGAAATGAGAACACTACGGCAGCCTGGGAATTGCTAATAAGACTGTCTTCAAGACACATGGAAGTCTTTTGTGCCACATGGTCAATGGAATACATTTGCAGAAACATGGAACATGTGTGGGGAAAAACACTGGTACAGAAAATCTCTTACCATATAAACCACAGCAATAAAGTTGTCCACCTAAACTGGGGTGTGAAAAGATCCCTAAATTTGCCCCGGTCTTCCTGTTTCAAAACAAAGACAAATTTGGTTTACATTTCTCAAACTCAAAATAAGGTTGCTATCTGAACAGAGAATAGGTTTATTGTTTAAAATCAGTGGGAGTGGACAAGTTCATGGAGAAAATGTCCCTAGCTTAGCCTTTGTCACTTTAAATTATTTTTCAGTCTTGAACAACTCTTTGTGACTCAGTTTGGGAGAGATACTGGTGTGGTTTACCATATCCTTCTCCAGCTCATTTTACAGATGAGGAAACTAAGGCAAATAAGGGTTAAGTGACTTGCCCGGGGTTACACAGCCAGTAAGCGTCTGAGACCAGATTTGAATTTAGGAAGATGTCTTCCTGATTCCAGACCTGATGCTCCATCTACTACACCACCTATGGTATAAATAAATATTCAGTCCACAGGATCCCCTTTGTCCTCCAAAACTTCAAATTCTGCACTGGGCAGCACAGGTAGCAAGGATTGACTCTCACTTGTCCTATAATCTTGAGACACATGGGACAAAACAAGCTTTTTCCTCCAGGGAGCCTGGAAAATTGAATCATGAAAATGATTCTGAGATAACAGGATCATAAATTTAGAGTGAGAATGTACTTTTGCTAATCATTTTACAAATGAAGAAACTGAGGCCTGGAGAGGTTCTATAACTTTCCTGAGTCACATAGGTAGTAAATAGCAGAACAGGGATTTGAACCCAGGTCCTTAAGACTCCCAAACCAGCTCTCTTTCCACTCCCACATGCCCAATCCCCATCAGCTGCAGCACACTCTGAACCAGCTCATTCAGGGCACTGACCTGTCTGGAAATGATCAATTTTCCCAGGGGCATTGGTGCACCATTCTCTGTTGCAATCCTCTTCAAGGTGGCGATGGCCTTTTCCTGGTTCCCAGATAGCACATCATACCTTGCACTCTCAGGAAGCCACTGGGAAGGCAGAGAAGATCAAACCCAAAGCAGAGGCAGGGGGAGGCTGGGCACTGACTCCCAGCTGAGCCACAATATGTGGGGCTGGTGTTTGAGATCAAGGTCAATCCCAGCCAACCACCAACATGCCCCTGAAAGTCCTTCTAGATGCTCTTTTTTTTTGTAGTGAGGCAATTGGAGTTAAGTGACTTGCCTAGGGTCACACAACTAGTAAATATCATGTGTCTAAGGGCCGGATTTGAACTCAGGTCCTCCTGACTCCAGGGCTAGTGCTCTAACCACTGCACCACCTAGCTGCCCCTCAGATGCTCTTTTGACATGGAAGTTTCCTAAGGGCAGAGACTGATTCCTTTTTATCTTTGCATTTATAGAGCATTGCATGGTACCTGGCACCTAGGAAATGCTTTATTTGAGTTTGGATGCCTGACTACCAAGGAAAAATGCCAAGTAGAGTACATCCTGAGCTAAAACTTTGGCTACACTACATAAAGTATGACTATGTGAGTCAAGAAACTTGTGATGGTTGGGGGAGTGGAGTGTGTTGATAAGATCTGAAGCATTAGAGAGAAGCTAGTACATTCATTTATACTTCTATCGTCAAGGTGAATCATTTGTTTTTGCCAAAGATGCTCTATTTGTCAAAGATGCTCTATTTATTAATGCTATCAGTAAATGATAATATTTGGCTTTCCAATCAATCAATCAATCAATAAACGTTTATTAAGTGCCTATGGGGTGCCAGCCATTGTGTCAAGCACCAGGGATACAAAAAGAGGCAAAAGACTGTCCCTGCCTTCAAGGAGCTTACAATCTAACCCATTTCCCCAAAGTTCAATAGTCTCTGCCTTCAAGGAGCTTACAATTTAATGGATTTCTTCAGAGTTTGAATCTTGGATCTTCTAGGATATCTTCATAGCATACAGAGCACCCCATTTTATAGACAAAGTCCCCAAGTGGTTGGGTAATTTGCTCAAGGTTCTAGAAGTAGGAAGTCACAGAACCAAGATGCAAAATCAGGTCTGCTGATTTCAAATAAATCCCCCGACTTTCCACTCCACCGAAGTCTGGACAAGGATCCAGGATCAACCAATGCATTTATTATCATTTAAAACTTGATATTTGCATAGCCCTTTGAGGTATATAAACAGGTTTGTACATACTGTCTCCTCTGAGCCTCACAACAGCCCAGTGAGGTAGATCCTTAGAGGTATTATCATCCCTATTTTATAGGATCAAAGCACCTGGTCTTCCTTAAACCGACCGTTGATTACTCTTCACAATAAAAATAAAAAACGGTTTCTTTGATTTGCTAATAATTCTTTCCAGTTCTGGACAGGACTCAGTTTGAGTATACTGAGTAGAGACTTTCTCTCTTTCTCTCTCTCTCTCTCTCCCTCTGTGTGTGTGTGTGTGTGTGTGTGTGTGTGTGTGTGTGTGTGTGTGTGATATGCTTATTCCTACTGCAGACAATTCCTGAAAAATGACACATAGCTAGGAGCAACCGAACAGCAGAGTAAATATAGCACCCAGATAATGGTTCCTGTCACATCTAGTCCAGAAGGAAGGCGTGGGCTCTCAAATAACATGGCTTTGGGAGTCTCTAAGCCACACACCAAATGGGATTGTCATGGGAGATCCATCTCAGAATGCCAGGTGCAAGCCTCGCTTGTTCTAAGAAGTACAATCTATGTGTCTGCCCTGAGTGTACCACAACCCACGCTATTCATCAACAAATGAGGAGTCCTGGACTCAGATGCCCATGCTTTTAAAAGCTCATAGAGGTCCTGCCTTGGACTGATGATGATGTATGGTGGGAGCTGTGACTAAGGCAAGGAGATCAGACTGTTAGCCCTGAGCGATGAGCTTGGGGTGGAGAGGAGGGGGAGGGAGAGGCAGGAGGTGCTGAATTTAAAAGGCTCTATCCTCACTGGCAGTCCTGTAGCATAGAAACAATAGAATTTAGCTCAGCACGACTAATTCCTTAAAATAGGAAGCTGCCAGATGGCTTGCTGGCGTGAGCTCTTCCCTTCCCCCACTTTTTCCCATCCCCCTCCCCAGAGGGTGAGTTTAGCCAGTGTGGTTTGTGGTAATTGCCCCAGGTGCAAAAATTCCCAGTTCTGCCTCAGATGTCTCATTAGGAGGGTGTCTTTTGACCACAATTCCAATGATGTTGTAAGAATCATCATGTAATCTGAGATTCTGGCTCAGAATCTGAGTGAGCGACTGAGATGACCATGTTTTTGCCTTTCTTGGTATCCCCAGCCCTTAGCAAGTGATTGGAATATAGTAGGTGCTTAATTAATGTTTGCTGCCTGCCTGCCTACAGGCAGGACAGATACTCTGTTATCGGGAAGGCAGGTATCCAATGGGGATTTGTTTCTGTTGAGTTTTCCCTTTAACTCTGCCAAGAAATTAATACCTACCCAGGAGTTTTTCATTTGTAAGAGGTTTGGCGGATGAAAGTGAACGCTTGTAGATAGACTTAGTGGCATTTCAACAGAAAATACTGCAGCCTTTCAGCCAAACGCCAAAGCAATTTACAAATCAAGGGGCTGGATTTCTGTCTGATCTTCAGCCAGTAAGTGGAGCTGGTGCAGAGGGATGTATGAGGTGGAAGGAGAAGGAAAACATCAGGCCAATCTGGACCCCTGAGCTTCCAGTCTCTATTACTCAGTGCTCAGGACATAGAATGTCAGAACTGGGAGGAGCCTCAGCACAGAGAATGTCAGAGCTGGGAGGGGCCTTAGAACAGAGAATGTCAGAGCTGGGAGGGGCCTTAGAACAGAGAATGTCAGAGCTGGGAGGAGCCTTAGAACATGGAATGTCAGAGCTGGGAGGAGGCGTAGAACATGGAATGTCAGAGCCTTTACATTTCTTTGTATAGCAAGGACCCAGTACAGTAACTGGCATGTAATAGGTGCTTAATAAATGCTCATTGACTTGACTGAGAGCTCGGGGGAGGGGTGGACCTTAGAAGATATGACATAGAACAATACAGTTGAATAGATAGACATCGGTCCAACTTCCTTGTTTTACAGAAGTGCAGGGAGGACATGTGACTTGACTAGGTCCTGGCGCCCCACACATACACTTCTACCTCCCCCACCCCAGGGCTCTTTCTATGGCACGGCACTTCCTTTGTGATGCGGGCTCAGGAGGTCCTCATGCACTCAGCCAGCCCACTTTCTCCCTCTGCAGAGGATATCAAGAAAAGTTGGGTGGGCTCAGAAAGGGACCTGCAGACTTATATGAATGGAAACAGAGTAAAGTGGGCAGAACTAAGGGATGATGTATCCACTGACAACAATATTGCAAAGACAAATGACTTGGAGAGACTTGGGAACTTTAACCATAGTAAGAACCAACTGCGATTCCAGGTGATGAAACTTACTGCCCACTTCCTGAAACAGAAATGAAGGACTCTTTTTTTATGGACATGGCCAATTCAGGGATTCGTTTTGCTCGACTATATGGGTTTGTGGTGGGGATTTTGTTTTTCTTTCTTTCTCAAGTTGGGAGGGAGAAATAGGAGGGACCAAAGGTGGATTTTAGTTGACTGGAAAAAAAATTAAATTAAAAAAAAACAAACCCAAAAAGGTACCTACAAAGCACAAGACAGCAAACAGGAGCAGCGGCACAGCAGAAAGGATGAGCAGCCAACGCCATCCCAGGCTGGGCATAACAAACACGGCCAGGACGACCTCAAACACTGTCCCAATGGCCCAGAACACCTGCCACAGGAGAATGGAAATCAGAGGTAAGTAGAAGGCTGCATGGTCAGAATGAACAAGAAAGGAGGAATGAATGGGCCAGGCGACAACAGCTGCTATCTGTACTCCCTCAACCTCCCTTTTTTGCCTTGTGACAAGGTAGAGAGGACTTTAAACCCGTAGTTGTCCTTAGCCCCAGTTTATAGATGAGATAACTGAGGCCCAGAAAAGTGGTAGGATCATAAAGTTAGGGCTGGGAGGGACTTTAGAGGTCATGTAGTTCAGCTTCCTTCATTTTACAAATTCGGAAACTGAGACTCACTGAGGTTAAGAGACTTGTGTTAGTTCACACAGGTAGTAAGCAGCTGAGCTTGGATTTGAACCCAGGTCCTGGGACTCTGATTTTAGCCTCCTTTTCTTTATTCCACTGTGAGGAGACTTGCTTATAATCACATGGCTAGCAAATGTTGGAGGACTTATTTGAATTCTGGTCTTCCTGACCCCAAGTCTAGGACTCTACCCACTGTACCACACTAGTTAATGGGGTCAGCGTGGACCAGCATGGTGAGTTTGGACAGGTGGACAGGACAACCTGCTCAGTGTGGACAGCAGTGTGGGAAGATGGTCACCGGGGACAGGCTGACTACTAGTGTGGGACCGGGCGGTCAGTGTGCTGAGGACGGTCAGGGAAGATAAGGTCAGTGGAGACGGGAAAGTCAGCTAGTTGGGATGGCCAAAATGAAGAGGACAGCCATTGTGGTCAGGATGTCAGTGTGTCAGGAGGGACAATATGGGCAGCACAGTGCAGTCAGTGTTACCTAATTAGGTACCAGGCAGAAGTTGTCCCTAGGTTTTCTTCCTGAAGCTGTTATGGGAGCACATGAATAAATGAGGGGCATAGGGAAAGAGAAGAAGAGCTCAGCAGCTCATTGGATAGATCACTGGGCCTGGAGTGAGGAAGACCTGAGTTCAAATTCAGCCTCAGATACTTCCTAGCTGTGTGACCCTGGGCAAGTCATTTAACCTCTGATTGCCTCAGTTCCTCCACTGTTTAAAAAAAAAAGAGCTAGAGAAGGAAATAGCAAATGATTCTAGTATCTTTTACTAAACAACTCCAAATAGGCTCATGAAAAGTAGGATATAACCGAAAAATGACTGAACATAGGGAAGGGAACCCCTTCCTCCATTTCTCAGCAACATTGGGCCTGAGATCATCCCAATGGGGTCTGGAAGGAGTGTTCCAAGATGACAGCTAACTCTCTTGTTAGCAATAGGCCTGCAGCAAAGATAACCAAGTGTGAAACGTTGGCTCTGAATATAAAATTGGAAGGGGGAAAAAGGAGTGGAAAGGAGCATAGGCCTTGGAGCTCATCCAATCCTACATCCTCATTTTACAGATAAGTAAACTAAGGCACAAAACATTAAATAACTCATTCATGAACCCAAAGCCTTGGAGTTGGAAGGATCTGAGAAAGCTCCTCAACCAACTTCTCATGTTAGAGATGAGTAAACTAAGGACAGAGAGAGGAATTAACTTAATTGAGGTCACATCGTTTATAAGTGGCAGAGCAGGATTCGAACTCAGATCCTCTTACTCCAAACCCAGTGCTTTTTACCAATGCCCCCATGGCTCCCAGACACCTCTGTTTTCTAGGACTACTCAGCACTGTCCTTCTCAGAACCGCTACTTCCTCATAAGATCAATCAATGCAGAACTGGAGGAGACCTCGGAAGCCATCTAAGTCAAATTTAACAGAGGAAGAAACCGAGGCCCCAAGAGGTGAAGTGATTTTACCCAGTCACACTAGTTATAAGAATCCTTTTACAACCCAAATAATTGATAATTTGTAAATTTGGAATAATTAGCGGAGTTTTCTTATAACCCATTGATCTCCAGTCCACATTCCTTCCCTTCCTCTCACTCTACATGCTGGGATGTCACTAGGCTCAGGAAAGACTGCTCCTGGGGCTGGAGAGATGGAGTGAGGTGATAAGAGGAGAAGGATCTGGGGGCCTGAAGATGATTGCTAAGTGTTCAGCATTCTCCTCTGCTGGGGTTCGGGACTGCAGCTCCATACCTCTATCAGCAAGATGCATTTGGCTCTGGCCTTCATCGGGAGGAACTCAGCATACAAGGTTACCCTGTGGAAAACAAAATCAGAAAAAGATGGATTAATGTTAGATAGGAGGAAGTACCAATCAAATTGATTGGCTTGGCACCCCTATGACTCCTCAGACCACAGGATCCTTCCCTGGCCACCTCTCTCTTCTATGTGTTTCCTGCTCCTGTTAAATTGCAAATTCCTTGAGGACAGGGACAGCCTTGTGTTTATATGGGTACCCATAGTTTAGCATGGTGCCTGGCACATAGAAAGTACTTAATGACTTTTTTCTTTATTCGTTCATTCATTCATTCATTCATTCATTCAAGTGAGAGTTAAGATCATGAAGGACCCATAGTCTAGAAGGGACAATAAAATTCAAAGATATGGATTATTTGGGGCAGCCAGGTAGCACAGTGGATAGAGCACCAGTCCTGGAGTCAGGAGGACTTGACTTCAAATCCAGCCTCAGGCACTTGTCACTTACTAGCTGTGTGACCCTGGGCAAGTCACTTAACCTGTTAGCATTCTAAGCAACTCTCTAAATTGCAGAGGAGGTGCTAACCTGTATTGGTAGAGGGAGTTTTCTCACACGAGAGTGCCCCATGCCAGTGAAATCACAGATCCAACCTCTTTCCCTCCATCTCCATTTTGTAGATATTTATATAACAGGAGACTAGCCAACAGGCTCAGTTCTTCTGAGCGGGTGTAGCACACCCTTCTTGAAGTCCACATGCAGACTTGAGTGTGCACAGATATTATTTTCAGTCTGTTTACCTTGGCCCTTTGATTGCAGATCCCAAACCCAGGCTGCATTCAGAAAGCCTTCACCAGCCTTTGGAGTTAGACAGATGCACTGTACACCTCTGGGTGAGGAGAGGCCTAGGACCCTCCCCCTCTGGGGCTGATGGGGCCCATCAGTATTGGCTTCTAGACTTCACCTCTTATTGATCATTTTTTACTGCTCATAGGGGAAGAAGTATGAGAAAAGGCCATGACCCTCTGAGCTTTGCAAGGTCGGAGTGGCGAGCCCCCAGGGGCCTGGAAGCCAGAATCCATGACAGGGTTTTTGGCCAGCCAAACCTGGTCTAACAACCTGGCTCAGCAGCGGACAGGCCCAGAAGCCAAGATGCTCAGCCTCATAAACAAAGGAACAAATTGTGTTGAGAAATGAACTTGGCAGAGCCAACGCATTGTTGAAATAGATTCCAATTTAAGCCCACTCTTCCTTGGTACCAAAATGGTACAGGGAAGAACTGGTCTAGGGCTCTGGGAGAATATGTCTGCACCTGGATTCTTGAGTAACTGAGAAATCTCCTCAATAAATATCTTTGTGTAAAAGCTACCTGTTGTTAATTGGTTAAATGACGCTGGGTTCGAATTGCTAGTGTTGCTATTGGTGAGAACACACCAGAAGAGCAACCCCCAATGCCTCAGGGCCTTGAGGGGACCTGGCAGGCCCCCTGAGGCACTCAGCCTCATCAGAGAGGATGAGGGAGGGTAGCTAAGGGGCTCAGAGAACGTGGTGCCCTTCACTAACATCCTTCCTGATAGAATGGAAGCCTCCTGAGGGCAGAGACTCTTGTATCCTCAGTACCTAGTACTGGGCCTGGCTAATACACGCTTGTTGACTGAGTACATGATTTTACATATGTGAAGATCTAGACAAAAGATCTAGTATTCCCTGGGGCAAAACCTTGGGTGGGGTTGTGAGCCAAAGAGAATGAGACACACATACATGCATACACACATGTATACACACATACATATGCACACATGCACATATATACACATATACATGTGTGTATATGTATGTATATAAAATATATATGTATATATAAAAACTTTTTTTTTGACAGCTCTTCAAGATTAGCCTGGCTCAGGCCAAATTAGAGTTTGGCATTCTGGGTTATATGCACAGCAACGTTAAGAAGTAGAAAAATGCAAATATCACGATCCCCACTTTACATATGGGCAAACTGAGACTTTGGAAGGTTCCCAAAGTTGCCTGGGTAGCACATGTCAGAGCTGGGATTCGAACCCATGTCTCCTGACTCCAACTCCGTGGGTCTCTCCACGACAACTGGTCTTGTTTCACGTCTCTCTCCCCACCCCGATCCAGCCTCCACTCAGCTGCCAATGTGATTTTTCTGAAGCTCACTCTGACCACGTCATTCCCCTCACCCCTTTTCAGTGAACATCAGGGACTCCCTATTGTCCCGAGGATCGAATATAAGTAATTATTTTAGGGGGGAAGAAGCAGCTCGTGACAGCTGTCATCTCGGGGCTTCTGGTGAGAAAGTCAAGCTTGTTTTTAGGCGGTAGACCCTGTTTGAGGCTTGAGAAAGATGAGCCGCGTTCACTTGGCGATGAGCGCTGTCATGATTACGATCATGCTGAGAGACAGATGAATGAGCAATGAAGTTAGCAGGCACCGAGCAGCCGTCTGTGGCTAATTCTGACATAATTTCCTGATGTTCACTGTTGGGTCTACAGTGAGCTCTTACTGGAGAGTTCATGTAGGCCACTCTGCTTGGGAAGAGGAGGCCATGTTATCTGAGTTCAACTCAATTCCGTTCTACAAACATGCATTAGGCATCTACTATGTGCCAGATACTGTGATCACCACTGGGCATATGGAAACATGGGGGACAGCTAGCAGACTCATGTGACTGGGATGGGGAAGTAATGTGAAATAATCCTGGAAGGGTAGATAGGAGCCCTAGTGTGAAAGGCTTTAAATACCAGGTTAGGAATTTTTTATCTTATCCTAGAGGCAATGAGCAGCTAGGTAGCTCAGTAGATATGGCTGGGCCTGGAGTCAGGAAGACTTCAGTTCAAATCTGGCCTCAGTCACTTACTAGCTGTATGACCCTGGGCAGTCGCTTAACCCTGTTGGCCTCAGTTTCCTGTAAAATATCTTGAGAAAGAAATAGTAAACTACTCCAGAATCTTTGCCAAGAAAACCCCAAAAAGGATCACAGAGAGTCAGAAACCACCACCAACACCACCATTTTTAATCTTATTCTAGAAGCAAGAGGGGGTCATTGAGCTTCAGAGGAAAAACCAGCCTTGAGGGTCATCTGTATAATCTTGTTAGAGGCCAGAAGCACTGACATGTGACTGCTCAATCGAGTTTTGTTCCTTATGCTGTGTGACCTTAGACAGGTCACTTCTCATATTGGAACCTTAGTTTCCTCAATTGTAAAATCGAGACTTGGGATTAGACAATCTTTCAATTTCTTTCCAAGTTTTAAAGCCTTGAATTCTGCAGTTTCACTTGAGGGATAGTGATGGGGGCTGCACCGATGGAGCGAGCTCCCAGATGAGCAAATCCCTCCACCAGTATAGGTTAGCACCTTTTTTTCCTTTTAATTTATAATCTTAAAAAGTTGCCTCCAGTCCTAAGTGACCTGCTTGCTCAGTGAGGACTAGAGGCTATGCCCAGAGTCATACAGCCAGCTTGGTCAGCAGTGGGACTTGATCCCAGGTCTTCCTGGCTCCAAAGCCAGTGAGTTATTGATCTGCCTTGCCACATTGCTTCTTCCTCACTTGAGGACAAGAGGAAAATTGGAGCATCTTCATGGTTTGGTCACCCCTTAGCGGATGGCTGCACCGTAGTCAATGAACAAAGTCCTGGGAATGGAACGTTTATCATTCCATTCAGTGTGATGGCCTAGCTCTGGGAAAGAAGCCAGGCCAAAATGGCAGCCGAGTTGAGTTAGTCCCAAGATTTGTGACCTGAGCTCTAGACACAGCCCTGGTTTCCAGTCGAAGAGGCTTTTAAGGCAACTCTAACCCCTGGCAGGACCTGCTGTCCAGTGCTCAATCAGCCAGAGCCTTAGAAGAAGGATCAATAATGAATGAGGATGGAGGATGAGGGAAGGGAAACACAGACTGCTACCTGCTCTGGTGGTAAAAGTCCCAGTGCCTTCATTTCCCTGGGACCATAGAAACCCAGAAGGATGGGGATGGGCTGCATCTGCCCTCCATGGACATCTTTGCCAATCCTCCCAGGCCCAGTTCCTTCATGACCTTTCCCTGCTTTTATTCTAGCTAGAAGAGATCTCATGAGATTAGAGGATTTAGAGCTTAGAGATCACCTACATTATGCCCCTCATTTTGCAGAAACTGAGTTTTCTACCTCTCAGAATCCCCCCCAGAGTCCTGCTCCTAGCTGGTACTTAGCATGTATTTGTTAAATGAATGAACTCGCCACTTTACAACTTAAGCTTCTGTGATTTTGTTGGTTTGGGCACCTTCTCCACCAATGCAGATAGCAGCCCTTTGATAATCAAGCAGATGGTCTTTCAGAGCTGCTGTTACCCCAGGTCCCCTCCATTCACCCCTCTACAGCCAACTGAGCCCAGAGCCTCCCTTAACTTGAAGCTAGACATGGTCTTCAACAACAGCTACACCAGCTTCATTGAGTCCATGACAAAAACCTTTCTAGTTTGGTCGGACCTGGTGGTGGTGGTAGTAATAGCAGAAGTAATAATAGCAGTTGTAGCAATGGTAGTAAGAGTAAGAGTAGTAGTAATAATGATGGTGGTAGTAATGGTCATTGTAACAATAATAGTAGAAGCAGTAATAATGGGAGTAATTGTAGTAATGGGAGTAGTAGTAATAGTAGTTGTTGGGGCAGCTAAGTGGCCCAGTGAATAGAACACTGGGTGTGGAGTCAAGAAGACCTTAGTTCAAATCTGGCCTCAGACACTAGCTGTGAAACCTTAGGCAAGTCACTTAACCCTGTTTGCCTCAGTTTCCTCATGCTTAAAATGAGCTGGAGAAGGAAATAACAAACACGAAGAGTTGGACACAACTGAAAAATGATTGAATTGTAACAACAAGTAGTAGTGGTAATGGTAGTGAGACTAGTAGTAACAGTAATTGTAGAAGTAGCAACAATAATAATGGTGCTAAGACTATTAAGGAGTAATAATGATTATGGTAGTTGTAATATTAATGGTAATGATTGTAATTAATAGTAATGGTAATAATGATAGTAATAGTAGTAGTAATAGCGGTAATAGTAAAGTGGTAGTAATGGTTCTCCCATGCTTGTTCTCCCTTCTTCATTCTCACTACTGGTCTCTCTGGCTTCTTTTAAATCCCAACTAAAATCCCACCTTCTCCAGTAACCTTCCCTAACACCTCTTAATTCCAGTTTCCCTCTGCTAATTATTTCCTATTGGTCTTGTATATAGCTTGCTTTGTATATATTTATTTGTATGTTGTCTCCTCCATTAGATTGTAAGTTCCTTGAGGGCAAGGATTGTCTTTTGCCTCTTTTTTGTGTCCCCAGAGCTTAGCATGGTGCCTGGCACATAGTCGATGCTTAATAAATGTTTATTGATTGATTGGTATTAAGATTAGAAGTAGTAATAATGGTAATAGTGGTATTGGTAGTAGTGCTAACAGTGATAATTGTAGTAACAGTAGTAGTGATAATGATAGTGGTGATAATATTAAAAGTAATGATTGCAATAATAATAGCAGTGATAGTAAGAGTTGTAGTAACAATGGTAATAGTAATAGTAATAGTAGTCAAAGTAGCAATAGTAATAGTAGCAATAGTAGTAGTAATAATGGTAGTATTGGCAATAGTAGTGATGGTAGTAGTAACATTAGTAATAGTAATTGCAGCAATGGCAGTAGTGAAAGTATGGGCAGGTAGGTGGCTCAGTGGAGAGAGTGCCAGGAGTCTTCCTGGAGTCAGGAAGACTCATCTCTCTGAGTTTAAATCTGCCTCAGACACTTAATAGCTGTGTGACCCTGGGCAAGTCACTTCACCCTGTTTGCCTCAGTTTCCTCATCTGTAAAATGAGCTGGAGAAAGAAATGACAAAATACTCCAATATCTTTGCCAAGAAAACTCTAAATGGGGTTACAAAGAGTCAGACAGGACCGGACAACACCAACAAGTAGTGAAATCTAGTAGTAATGATGGCAGTAGTGGTAATAGTAGTAATGATAGTAATAAGAATAGTAGTGATAATGGTAATAATAGAAGAAGTAGTAATAATGATAGCAAGATAAGTAGTAGTAATGGTAGTAAGAGTAGTGGTAGTAGTAATGGTAGTAAGAGTACTACTATTAGTAATGGTGGTAAGAGTAGTATAATGGTAGTAGAGTAGTAGTAGCAACAGTAGTAATGATAGGGGGCAGCTAGGTGGTGCAGTGGATAGAGCACCAGCCCTGGATTTAGGAGGACCTGAGTTCAAATCCAGCCTCAGACACATAACACTTACTAGCTGTGTGACCCTGGGCAAGTCACTTACCCCATTGCCTAGCCCCCCCCCCCAAAATAGTAGTAATGATAGTAAGAGATAGTAATTAATGGTACTGAGAGTAGTAGTAATAATAATAATGGTTGTAATAGATGAGGTAGCAGTAGTAGTAATGCTAGTAAGAGGTTTACTAGCAGTAGTCGTGATGGTAGTAGTAATGGTAATGAGTAGTACTGGTAATAATAGTAGTAAGAGGTATAATAGCAGAAGTAGTTATGGTAGTAAGAGGAGTAGTAGTAGCAATAGTAGTAATGGTAGTAAGAACGGTAGTAAGATTAGTAGCAGTAATAATGATAGTAAGAGGCGTAGTAACAATAGTAGTAATGGTAGAAAGAGGTGTAGTAGCAGTAGTAGTAATGGTAGTAAGAATAGTAGTAGTTTGGTAGTAAAATTAGTAGTAGTAATGGTAGTAAGAATAGTAGTATTAATGGTAATAAGATTAGCAGTAATAATTATAGTAAAAGTAGTAGTAGCAACAGTAGTAATGATAGTAAAAATAAGAGTAGTAATGGTAGTGAGTAGTAGTAGTAGCAGACTAATTGTCTCCTCCCCCTAGAATGCCCTCCTTCTTTACCTCTGTCTCTTGGAGTCAGAACTTCCTGTGAGGCTCAGTGCAAGCACCACCCTCTACATGAGGTCTTCCCTCATCCCGTAGCATCTCCAAACTACCTTGTATTATATACATGCACGTATGTGCTTTTACATAAATACATATTTACTTTACATGCTTATATATGGACGTGTGGTCTCCCCCAAGAGATGTAAGCTCCTTGAGGGTAAGGCCAACTTTGCTTCCCATCTTTATATCTTTATATTCCCAGCACTTACTACAGTGTCTGGTACATGGTAGGTGCTTAACAAATGCTTTTTGATCGTTTGATTACAGATGAGGAAATGAGGCAGAGAAGTTCAGGGACATGCACAGAATCACACAGCTTTCACTCCAGTGACATACCTTTTGGGAGCCCTGAGTCACCTCCACACTGTGAAGAGGCGTTGGAGTCTCGAATGAATGAACGAATGAATGAATATTTACTTACGACTGAGGAACTCCTCCAATCCCAAAGCCCACGAGGCCCCTGAGGACCAGGATCCAGCTATACACGGGGGCAAAAGCACTGAGGATTCCATAGTAGAGCGTCCATAGCACGCTGATCTTCAGCCCCTGCAGTGGGAGGAGGCAGAGCGGAGGTCAGACTCCGAGACAGAACAGCACCTCCACCCACCTAGCAGACAGTCTGCTCTCGCTTTGGAATCGCATAGGGAGCTTAGGATGAGTCAGCCAAAGAATCCCCCTCCCCCCAAGGAGATCCCATAGTCTAATGCCCTCATTTGACAGATGGGGAAAACGAGGCCTAGAGAGGGAAAATCAGGACTAGAACCAGGGCTCCTAACATCCAGTCCAGGCCTCTTATGTCTGTGCGGTGCAATTCACCCAGACTGCCTTCTCCTAGGATAATAATATTAATGTTAATGAATATCACATTAATAATGGGCACAAAATATTTAGGCCTCATTGAAAAATTTTTGACATCTTTTATTTTTCATGGCAGTCTTTATGCAAGTATTTTTCAAAACTAGGTATGTGTATTGACAAAATGTCTCATGAAATAATATTTCTTGTAACTTTTGGGAGTATGAGAAAACCCATTTGGCCAATTCCTTTCTTAGCCTTTCCAAGGCAGACCTCGGAGCCCTCCTTCTATTGAGCTAAAATGTCTTTCATTTTTTTTTTCATTTGTAGTCAAACCGTCAAGATTGATATCATTCATCTCTTTGCCCAATATGTCCACCTGTGGGTCACTGGACAGAGGTCTCACTTTTAGAGTAGGGATAAGGACGAGATCTCTGATTTCACTGACATAGGGAACCTCCCACATGAAGAATGTACCAGTTATACCAGATGTACCAATGCAGATCCCCCAAATCCCTGCGCCCTGCACCTTAGCTGCCTAGAGCATTGAGAGGTTCAGTGACGTGTCCAGGGTCACACAGCCAGCATGTGTCAGAGGTGGCAGTGGAACCCAGGTCTTCCTCCCCACCCACTGCATCACACTGCCCTTCTCCATTTAGAACAGTAACAAAGTTTGTCAACAGTTTGGCAGCTGTGTGAATCTTAGCACTTTCTGATTATCTCTTGTTTTTACATCACCTTCATTCCCCACCACCTCATCCAGAAAGTCATCCCTTATGAAAAAGGATGACAAAGAAAGGGGGGAAAGGAGGCTGCCTCTTATGGTAGAAAGACAATAAAACTTAAAAGTATTATGTAAATATTAGCTACTATTACCATGGGCTGATGGACACTTACGGTCCCTCGATCTTCTCACCAAAAACTGGGCTGTTTGTCCTCAAGTCCATCACTGTAGAGAACTTAGGAAAGGGGTCCCTACCCCCTAGCAAGGGGGGTTAGCAGGGGGAGAAGTGTTACAGATTGGGGGGAGGCACTGTCAAAGTTTTTCTTGGGGATTCCATGCTGACTCCTAATCTGACCCATCAGGTTTTAGGATGAACATTCCTTTGAATCCCCTGATCCTAGAGAAGAATGAGGAGGAATCAGTGAAAGGGGCCTGGGGTTGGGTGGAAAGGGACGTCAGAAAGGCTCTGTGATAAGAGACCCTGACTGCTTTGAGCCACTGAGGCCCAGATTGAAACTGCAAAATCGATCTTTCCCCTCCGGGCCAGCCAGGGATAAAAACAGATTCGAGTCACGTGGTCTGCTGATATGGGAAGGATGAAATCTGTTAAGCCTGCTTCCTGCCCAGGATCCCCTGAGCCAGCCTTCTGACAACAAGGAACCGGCTAGTAGCATCACCAAGAAATTCCCTCTGCAGCGGGACAGAAATTGAGTGAAATATGAGGAGAAAGCCAAGCCAGCTCACTTTCTATTAAGTTTGGAGGAAAAGGGGCCAAGTAAGGGTCTGGGGCATGGTGTGTGCCATTGACGGATGTCCTGGTGATTTGCCCCGAAACATAAAGATCCCTCCAAGCAATGTAGGAGAACCTACTGTGAAGGTAGGGTACCTCAGTGGTCCTGGAGTCAGAAGACCAAGATTCTAGCTCCTGGTCCACTTAACTACCAGAAAGCAGGAGAGGTAGAGTCCGAGGATCTGGGTTTGAAACCTGATTCTGGCACTACCTCTGGGACCTTAGGTAAATCTACTGACCACAGTTACTCATCCTGAAGGTACTATAGCTTGAAAGAAATAGGGGTGAAGGTGAAAGTTTCCTGAGTTCTGACATTGATGTTCTAAGGTCTCTCCTAGTTCTGACATCCTCTAAGGCCTGTTCTAAGGCCCCTCCCAGCTCTGACATCCTCTGTTCTAAGGCCCCTCCCAGCTCTGACATCCTCTGTTCTAAGGCCCCTCCCAGCTCTGACCTTCCCTGTTCTAAGGCCGCCTTTCAGGTAGTACAAACATGATAATTAGGCAAGGAAGAAACTTGGAGTCATCATCAGCAGAATCTATGCTCCTTGAGGGCAAGGCCCATTTAATTCTTCTGTCTTTGTGGACTCAATGTCTAGCTTAGTTAGCTAAGCAAAGTTTGCCTTAGTTTCCCTATCTGTACAATGGGGATAATGATGGCATCTTCTTCTCAGGATGGTTGTGAGGATCAAATGAGATAATATTTATAAAGTGCTTAGTACAGTGTATGGCACATAGTAAACACTACATAAATGTTAGCTATTATTATTAGCCATTATTACAAGCTACTATTTAATTGCTTGCCTCCCAGGATTCATATTGCAGGATTAATGAAAACTTCATTGTTGTTGTTGTTTTCGGTCATGTCTGAATCTGCCTGTCCCCATTTGGGGTCTTCTTGGCAAAGATAACTGGAGTGCTTTTCCATTTCCTGTTCCAGCTCATTTTACAGATGAGGAAACTGAGGCAAACAGGGTGAAGTGACTTGCTCAGGGTCACACAGCTAGTAAGTGTCTGAGGCTGAATTTGAACTCTGGTCTTCCTGACTCCAGGCCAGGTGCTCTATTCACTTCACCACCCAGTGGCTCATTTTATAGTCCTCCCCTTTAGCTTTTCCCTCTAGGAGCTTCCAGGAAAGACTATAAAACCTAGTGACTTCCTTCTCTAAGGGTACCATATTGGCCACAGCTATGGGAGTTCTGGAGCCAAGTGCTAAGTTTTCAGAGCAAACATTTACACCTCAGAAATCAGCAGCTTGATTTATTATTTAAACAGATCAGAGCTTGATTTATTGTATTGCAAATTGTTTGGGCTTAAGAAAGTGATGGACAGAAGTTAGTAATACAGGTTAAAAGTGGGTCCCGCTTACATTTTTTTCTGGAGAGCTGGTTGTTAAACATCACCCCACCAACCCACACTTGTAGAATAATAATGAATGACTGAAGTCATTCTGAGGGCCCGAAGTCTTTGGTGGGCTAGGTCTGTTACTGAGCCAGCTGTCAGTTAATGGGCAATCAACAAGCACTTATTAAACACTGATTGTATGCCATCCATTGTGCTCATTTCTGGGGATACATAGAAAGGCCACCAAGCCATCTAACAAAATTAGTCCTGTACAACGGACAGACCAGGAATGCTGATGGAGAGGAGAAAAGGGGGTAGAACAGAGGAAGGAAAGAGAGAAGGGCCAGGTCTACCAGTTTGCTCCGTTCCTCAAGCTGTATACAGCAGCAGCTTGAGAATCTCAAAGCCAGCTCAGTTCAAATTTGTGATAATCACACCAGGAGCCAGACAGATGTCTGCCCTGCCCATGGGGAAAAAACAATGGATGGAGGATCCCAGGGCTTGTGGCAAAGGGAACAGATCACTCTCTGATCTTCAAATTCTTAATGTACCTCTTTACACAAAACAACTGATGGGCCAATTACAAATCATTCTCATCTCTCAGGTACGCTGGCCAATGTCCGGGGGAGAGTGGCTAGGACGGTAAGTGAGCTAGAAACCGCACAAAATGAACATCATTTGAAAGAACTGGAACATTTGTTCTGGAGAAGAGAAGATTCTGGGGGGCCATGACAGATGTCTTCAAGGGTTTGAGGTAGCCTAGTATATCAGATCAGGCAGGAGATTTGGAGTCAGGAAGATTCAGGTTCAAATTTCATCTCAGACCCATACTAGCTGTGTGACCTTGGGCAAGTCACTTAAATTCTCTGCCTCAGTTTACCCATCTGTAAAATAGAAGATTAAACTCAAAGGGACTGAGGCACCTTCCAGCTTTAAATTTATGATCCTTTGTCATTCAAAAGATAGATTAGACTCAATTAGCACTTAGCAGAGTGCCTGGTATATAGCAGGTGCTTAATAAATGTTTACGGCTTGACTGACTTGTTCTTGGCCCACAAGTTGCAGGGAAGATTTTGTCTTGATGTGAGAAGTATCTCCTGACAATAAGACCCACTCCAAAGGGGAATGGGTAACCTCAGCAGGTAGTGGGTTCCCCTTCAGTAATGGTCTTCAAGAAAAGATTAGATGATCAGGGATGCTGGAGGGGGAGGAGTGGAATTCTTATTGGGATGTTGGTTGGACCAGATTGACTTTGAGAGCCCTTCCACCTGAAGATTAAAGCAGGATCCTTCATTAAAGCAGGGTCCTAAGGGCTTTTACATAGCCACACTTTGTCAGGCCAATCAGGGTTACTAGGTAAACATAAATAAAATGCATTAAAAATAACTCCATGACCCAGACCCTCCACTGATCCAACCTAACTTTCCCTACCTTCAGTTCCGGTAACAATAGCTCATATCTCTATAGCCATTTAAAGTTCATAAAGTACTTTGCACACAATGATGATGAGAAGTAGGAACTATAGGCATAGTACAAATTAGTGATTGTTATTTCTTTCCCGCCCAGTCACAAGGGGGCCTAAGAATAAATACTCAGCAGGGCCTATGCCTCCTCCCCATATTCATTCTTTAAAAAACCAAAACATCATAAAGCTTCCTGAAAGGATAAATGACATCCGAAAGGAAGGGAAATGTCCCTGCTGGATGGAGAAAGGGGCATCCCAGGCAATGACAATTAGGATTTCTGCACCAGGGTGCAGACTTTCAAACCAGCAAATGTCACCGGCTGAACCGAAAGGGGGACAGGAGGTAGGAGGAAGGTGTCAGGCAGCAGTGCTCTGCCAGCCTGGGAAGGAGAAGGAGGAGGAAAGAGACTTGTCTCTGGAGGAGATGAGGAAGCTTTTCATCCTCCCCCTTCCCAATGCATGTGATTCATCAAGGAACGGTGTCTCCAAGGTGTCCCGGATTAGCAACAGCTTGGTAGTGGTGTTTATGGAGAAGAGAGTCTGGGGTTAGAGGTCAGAGGACCAGGGTTCACATCCTGGTTTCACTAACTTTGGGACAACGCCACTCTCTGTATGACTCACAGGCAGTCAGATAAAGGGGAAAGAAGGCTGGATTGGGAGTCAGAGGACCCAGGTTCCTTAATCTCAGATTTGACCATGACACCCCATTCCTGCACCCCCACTAGATAAAAATCTATTATCTTCTGTTGAAGGCGGCACCATCTTTCCAGTCTCCCAGGATCATCACCTTGGCAGGATCCCCAAATCCTTATCCTGCACCTCATCTAGTCACTCGTTTGCCAAACCTTGCCATTTCTGCCTTCCTAGTTATCTCTCCTTATCTGACCCCTTCTCTCCTCTCACCCAATTACCATCTGGCTTCAGTTCTCGCCTAGAGTACTGCAGCAGCCTCCTAAGGGGTCTCCGTTCTCTCATGTCTCTCCCGATGCCAATTCATTCTCTACCCGGTTGCCACAGAGATTTTCCCAAAGCATAGGTCTGACCATGTCGCTGACCTGCTCAATAAACGACTGTGGCTCCCTATTTCCCACTTAGATCAAATACAAACTCAAGTGTTCGACATTTAAAGCTCTTCCCAACCTCCCCATTCTGATCTTTCCACTGGCCTCACACCTTCTACTCCCTCTGTAATCCCTCTTTGCAATGGCAGTCCTGATGCTTGAAATGCTCTTCTCTCCTCACCTTTGCCTCTTGGGATCCTTGTCTTTCTTCCAGACTCATCTCAAATGTCACCTTCTGCAGGACTTTCCCAACCCTCCCTAGCTGTGAGTGCCCTCCCTTCCAAGATTGCCTTCTGTCTACTCTCTGTGTATCTCATGTGGTATATGTCGTTTTCCCCATTTGGATGGAAGCTCCCTGAGGGCAGGAAATAGTCTTGCCTTTCTTTATATTCTCAGCACTTTACACAATGGTTAGGACTTAGGAGCTTGATAAATGCTTATTGATTGATTGAATAAAATGGAGAACACCCACACACAAGTTATCCTGATTATAGTTGACTTACTGTCTTTCGTCCATATTGGTCAGAAATGTTTCCCCAAAGAGTGGAACTAGACATCATTCCCACAAACACCACCTGCAGGACATGAGAAACAATTTCTGTTAGAGACAAGTTCAGGATCCCCAAGAAAGACTCCTCTTCCCCCCCCAAAAAACCCCAATAAGCCATTCAAATTAAAACCTCCAAAGACATATATCCATCCACATTTGTTATGAAAGTTACTCAGATTCATACAGCTTTTTAGAGCTTGGAGGGGTCATAGAACATGGAATGTCAGGAGTCTTAGACAAGGGGTCTTAGAACAGGGAATGTCAGAGCTGGAAGTGAGTGACCTTAGAATAGAAGTTGCTAGAGCTGGGGGTGAACTTAGAACATAGAATGTCAGAGGTGGGGGGTTGGGGAGTGGGACACCTTGGAACAGAGAATGTCAGAGCTGAAACTTTCAGGATGATCCAGGCCTCCTTCCTCACTTTACAAAGAAAGGAGATGAGATCCAAAGAGAAGTATTTAGACTTAAGTCACAGCAAAGTCAGAGTCATTAAAGACTGAATCCATTATTGGTTACCTTCCTATTTTCCAGATAAGGAAACTGAGGCAAACAGGGGTTAAGTGACATGCCCAGGGTCACACCGATAGCAAATGTCTGAGACAAGACTTAAAAAAAAGAAAAGTGGGACACATATAGGACAAATGGCTTGCTTGAGGACACAAAGGTAGATGGCAGAGGTGACATGTACAGGAAGGTTCTGGCCTCTCCAATTCCAGCACTTTTTTTTTTCTACTATAACCCATAACTCTGGGGCAGGGGCTCAATGATGAACAAAAGAAAGTTCCATCCTCTTAAGTGGATTCCACCGTCAAAGATGTGGGTAGTCGAGAGACGGGAAGGTTGTACTGGGGCAGGCAGGAAGAGACTGCAGTCTGGATTTCCCTACCAGATTCCCAACCAAGGTTCACATCTCCTCTGCTGGGTTTGAATGATGGAGACAACTCCACATGGACCACAAGGGTGGTAGGCAAATTAAACCATGTGAAGACAGTAGACATGCACCGGGCTCCTACCGAGGTGAGCAGGGCCACCTGCCAGCTGGGGAGTCTCCATTCACAATGCAGTTGGGGCGCCAAAATGCTGAGAATCATCATTTCCATTGCATCTGCCATCTAGAAGAAGGAGAAAGTGTGAGAAGTACCGGGAAAGGGAAAGCAGACAGACACACTGATTATTGGTGTCGACTGACTCTGCCTCCTCATCTTCAGCTTCCAAGACTGTCTCCTCTTGCTTCAGGGAAGTCGATAGGCTGAATAAGGAAGCTGGTTCCCAAATTTACTCATGCAGCCAGCCCATGACAGAGGGGTAGAAATGCTCCATCCATTGCTTGCTTTATTCAGTTAAAATCCTCAGTTCTTCTTCATGGAAAGAGACACATGGTAGTCACAATAAACGCTTTTTCATTCATTCATTATTGGTCAAAAACCCCCAACAACACTTCAACGTATGTAGGGGTCACTTAAAACCTGCTTTTGACAATTCCAAAAGACTCATGAAGGAAAATGCTATCTACATCTAGAGAAAGAACTCTGGAGTCTGAATGCAGATCAAAGCATACTATTTTCTCTTTTTTTGTTTTGTTTTTTCTTTCTCATGGTTTTTCCCTTTTGTTCTGATTCTTTCACAACATGACTAATGTGGAAATATGTTTAATATGATTTTACGTGTATATCCTATATCAGATTGCTTGCCATCTTGGGGAGGGGGAAGGGGAGGGAGGGAGAAAAAAAATGGAACTCAAAATCTTATAAAAATGAATGTTGAAAACTAACCAAAGAAGTAATAATAGTAAAATTTAGAATAAAAAAACCCTGCCTTTGAAACACTGAACTGCCCCCATTCCAAATACTTGCCCATGCCAATCCAGTGAGGACAGACAGTTTCCACTGAAACTTCCCAAAGCCGATGGCTTCCACCGCATCTTCCACCATGAAAGTATCTGAGAATGAAATAAAGAAGTCAGTTACCCTATAGTTTTCCTAGGGTGAGAATATTTCAAGATGACTGTGAAGTTAAATTGAAACATCATAATACATGATTTGGAAGATGGTGGAGGTTTATGTCTGCAATAAAGTTCACTCCATGTTCCTCCCCTTTCAGGGTTGGTCATCTTCATAACTGCCACCTCCTGCTTAGCACAGTGACAGAAACACAGCAGGCACTTAATTAATGCTTAATGATTGCTGAGAATGTTATTGCTCCATCATTTAGGGAATAGCTGAACCAATTGTGGTATATGAGTGGAATGGAATATTATCGGGCCATAGAAAATAAAAGTTAGGAACATGGGAAGACTTGTATGAAGTGAGGTAGAAGGAATACAGCAGAACCTTGAGAAAAATGTATATAATGGCCATAATAAGGCAAATAGGAACGATGCTGAAAGGCAATTGAACTCAGATGATTTCCAATGACCTAGAGAACCCAGGATGAAACACACTCCCCTCCTCTTGAGAAGTGGGGAACTACTGAGATGGAATGCTGCACATATCAGAGCTCTCTCCATAGGTCAATTTGGCTTAGCAGTTATTCTTTGTTATAATGGTGAAGGGGCTAGTATACTGAGAAATAACTATGATTAAAAAAAACCTAGAGGGAATCAATAAAACATTTGGAAAATAAAAGTAAAATAAAATGTGATTGACTCTTTAGAATTGTCTCCATTGACAGGCTTTATATAAGTGTACGATATCTAATTTTTCCCACTGGTGTTGCTGTTATCTCATAGAAATAGATGGAGAGGAAGAATTTTCCCCTTAGAGTATTGTTGGCTTTGTAAAGCACCATCCAAATTCCTTTTCTTCAATAATCCAGACCCCATTCCACTATAGTCCAAGATTATTCAAAACAAGATGGTTGGAACAGTGCTATAAGAAACAATAAGGGGGGGGGGGGTGCAGCTAGGTGGTGCAATAGATAGAGCTCCGGTCTTGGAGTCATGAGGACCTGAGTTCAAATTTGACCTTAGACACTTGAAACTTACTAGCTGCGTGACCCTGGGCAAATCACTTAACTCCAATTGCTTCACCAAATAAAGCAAAAAAAAAAAAAAAAAGAACAATAAATGTGAGGAATTCAGAGAAGCAAGGGAGAAGTTTTGTGAACTGATGCAGACCTATGGAAACTAAGCTTGAAAAACAACATACATGACTACAACAATAGAAATTGAAAAAACAAGGGAAAAAATGAAACCGAGCAGTGTGTAACTACAATAACCAAACTTGGCCTTGAAGAAGAAATGCAAAAACATCCCTTCTTCCATTCTTTGTAGCGATTGGGGGGAGGGAGGACTATGGATATGGAATAGCATATATACTGTCAGAAATGGTTAAAGTGTTCTTTAATTTTGCCGAACTGATTTTTTTCTCTCTTTCTGTTATTTTTTACTATGAAAGAGAGGTCGCTGGATGGGGTGGCAAGAGTGATAAAGACATTTGGAAATGAAGGCAATGTCAAAAAATGTATCAGGAATCATTTGAATAGAAAAAACCCAACAAGATGGCTGGTAGGGATTGGGCCATGATCCCTAGATACTGAAATTGACCACAATAAATCACTGTTAGTGACACCTCTAGTCCCCATTGCCTTCCCATCTAGATGTACTGAGCCCTGAAGCAAGTACGTCTGCGTTGGGCTGATTTTGATAAGGTTAACCCGTAAGTGAGCCTCAGCCTCCAGAAATACCTTACTTCAGCTGTTAAGAACAGCAGCTAGATGGCCAATATGGGAATTATTTCTGCTTGCCTGTGCATACGTGTCACAGAGGTTTTGTTTTTCTTTTCTTTTTTCCAATATGAGAGAAAGTTGGGGGAGAGAAGATACATTTTTATTCATTGAAAAACACTGTCTTTCAATTTTTTTAAAAAATAGCCGATAGATTCTGAAAGCCAAGTTGCCCAGTGGTTAGAGCACTGAATATGGAGTCAGGCAGGCCTGAGTTCAAATCCTGCCTCAGTCACTTGCTAACTGTGTGATGATGGGCAAATCGCTGAACCTTTCTCAGCCTTAGTTTCCTCATCTGTAAAATGGGGATAATGATATCACCTACTTCGTAAGGTTGATGTGAGGATCAAATGAGACAATGTAAGTAAAGTGCTTTGCAAGGCTTAAATCACCATAAAATTGTTATTGTTGTGGTTGTTATTGCTACCCTACTCACCATCAGTGGGATTGGCAAACTCTTTGGGCACTGCAGCTCCATCCTCCAATTCCACAGCCTCTAACTCTGACCGGACCCCTTCAATCTGGATTTCATGTTCTCCTGAGATGGCATCATCATCAGACCTGGAGCTCTCTCCTGTTCTTCGGAACTTGACCACTCTAGAGAAAACCAGGGATGGTTATCTGGGGAGGAGTTTCCCCGACTCAGATCCTTTGTGGAAATCTTGCATCTGGTTAAATGTAAAAGGCTTTCTTTTGTTGACCATGAGACTGTGAATTCCTTGAGAGCAGGGACTGGTTTTTTTTTCTTTCTTTGTATCCCTAGTGATTAGCCCAGTGCCCAGCACACAGTAGGCACTTAATAAATGCTGGTTGACTTGACCAGAAAATTGAACTGGGTAAGTGTGAGTGGCTAGCTAACTAGAAAATATGGATGTGTCTTTAAGACACTGTGGTGCAAGAGATAGAATATTATTTCTGGAGTCTGAGTTCAAATCTCATTTCTGATACTACCAATGTAACCTTGGGCATGTCACAGTGAAGTCTAGTGGATGGGGGCACAGGATTTGGAGTCAGGAAGACATAGGTTCAAATCCTACCTCAGATATTTACTAGTTGTGTGACCCTGGGCAAGTCACTTAACCACTGTATGCCTCAGTTTCCTCATCTGACAAATGAGGAGATTGGATCTGATGGTCTCTGAAGGTCTATTTCAGCTCTTGATAAATTATTCCACGATATATTTACTCTTGGCCATAATATTTTTGTCAAGAATAGTAAGATCAAATTAGATGTTGGCATTTCTGCCCATAAATGCATGCCCAAGAGATGGCTATTATCATGTTCTAGTTAAAAATAAAATAGTTGATTCAGGACATATAACCTGTTTAATGTGACCTTGGAGAAGTTACTTAACTTCTCCACACTTTAATTTCCTCATCTATATTATGGGAATGAGAGTATCACAGTGTCATGAATGCTTAGCTCCTTGAGGAAAGGGGATTGCATTCTCTGTTTGGTCTTTATATCCCCAGTGCCTAGAATACAGCAGGTGTTTAATTAATGCATGCTGAATTGAATTGAAACAAAACTACCTCAGAGTCACATGGAGGATGACAGATTTAGAGATAGAAGAGATCTTAGAGACCATCAAATCAAACTTCCTCATTTTACAGACGAGGAAACTGAGGCTGAGAGAGGTCTAGTGACTTGCCCAGGGGTCACACACCCTTTTTTTTTTTTGTTGAGTCATTTCAGTCACGTCCAACTCTCCTTGACAGTTACTGGAGTGGTTTGCCATTTCCTTCTCCAGCTCATTTTACAGATGAAGAAACTGAGGCAAAGAAGGTAAAGTGACTTGTCCAGGGTCACACAGCTAGTAAGTATCTGAGGCTGGTCTTGAACTCAGGTCCTCCTGACTCCAGGGCTAGTGCACTTAGCTGCCCAATTAGCAATCGTCTTTGAATTCAGGTCTTCCTGACACAAAGTCCAGAACTCTATCCATGGTGCCATCTAGCTGCCTTAAGTACAAGTTATACTTGAATAAGAGTCCTCTCTACAAAGTGGTTAAGCCTCTGCTTGAGTACCTGTGAGGAGGACTCACCACCTTCCAAAGCAGCTCATTCCACTTTGGGATGACTGTGTTTGTTAGGAAGGTTTTCCTTACACCGATTCCAGATTCTCTTCTTTGTAACTTTTACCTATTGTACCTGGCTCTGTGCTTGGCAAACAAGTGAAACAAATAAAAGTTCTCTGCATGAGAGCCCTTCAGATGCATGGGGAAGCTCTCATCTTCTCCCTCAATCTTTTCTTCTCTAGGCTAGACATTCCTGGTTCATTCAAATGATCCTCATATGACAGGGCAGATCCAAGCTTTCCAAATTCAGAGTATTATTGAATCAACTATGGAAATCATTGTACAAATGCTTTGAAAAGCAAATCCTCTATAAATATAAAATATTATTTTGATTTCCCCCTCCTCCTCATAGAGAATTTTTCAAAATAGTGTGGTCAGTGAACCGTAACTAGAGATTTTTGTATTTAAAGATACTGGCTTGAAAGGTATTCAATTTGGGGGCAATGATTGTGGGACACTATACTATTAGGGTCACAGAGACCCAGGAACTCTGCCATGAGGCTGCTGCTGGGGAGGCCTCTCCAGGAGGGAGCAGAGAAGAGTGGGGGAGGAATTTCCCAAAGGACTCCAAATGCTGTCAGCATTTGTAAACTTGGTGCCCTAGGGCAGATCCCCTATCACCCCAGCCTGGTTTGGCTCTGGTGCAGACCATTCCTCAAACTTAAAAAGTGCAATGAACACGCCATACTTTTGAAATTGGTATATGAGAAGTTAGATATCAACACACTCGGTTAATGAGAACATCAATACGCACATTATTATCCATACGCAAAACACACATACATTCATACATATATGTTTTTGTTTTGTTTTGTTCTGTTTTCACATTAGTCATGTTGTAAGGAAGAATTAGAACCAATAGGAGGAACCACAAGAAAGAGGAAACAAAACAAAACAGAAGAAAAAAAAAAGAGCAAATACATACATATATGTTTTGAAGTCCCTTTTCCTTCCAAAGCTTGTGCTTAGAAATCTTTGGGTTTGGTACATTTCTTATCATGTACTTGTGAGGAACCAGTTTGTCCTGGGAGAATGAAAGCTTCATGAGAGCAAGAACTGATTTCTGTTTTATTTTTGTGTGCCCAGAACCTAGTCAAGGACCTTGTATACAGGAGAAACCTAATAAATGCTTCTCAGATTGGATTGAATTGGATTGGACTGGCATATTAGATGAATCACGGGGGTAATAATAATGATAACAATAACAACAATAATAAAAATGGCATTGGGTTTTCCAAATATAACTGAAAGTGATTTACCTCTGGATGGAGGTTAATGAAACAACTGATATCCAAGAGTAGAGTCAAAAGGCCCTCTCTGAATTATTCAATAAACTGATAAAGAAACATTGAACGAACAGCTGAATCATGTGGATTCATTTGTGGAAATGGAAGGGTTTCTGATGGTCATTCAGGACCAGGTCATTGCCATAAGAAACTAGAGGTTAATCCTTAAGGAACTGGTCTTAGTGATCAATGTAGGTTATGTAAGATAATGGTGGAAATTATGCAGCACCTCACTGTAAACTGTAAGAGTTTAACACCTACCGACTACCCAGCAAGACAAGACTGACGGTTAGCATTATATGTCAGAATTATCCATCTACCTTTCATTGACTAACAACTCCCCATACTGCAAATACAGCCTTCATAATATCCTGGAGAACTCAAACATTAGACTGGGACCAGATCATTATTCCAGATCAAATTGTTTCCCACAATCACCTTTACATAACATTGATTCATTAAAAACTCAAAGTCAATGTTTTTAAGAGTTTCAGAGGTCTGCTAGTAAGTGTTTAACAACTGGCTCTCTGAAAAATAAAACATGTACATGAAATACTTTTATGTTGAACTTGCATTATTAACATTTTCTCCATCAGTTTCCTACATTTGGATAATCAACAAAACAATTAACCAAGTCTTGATTTATAGTGTTTGCTGATTTCTGACGTATAAATGCTCACTCTGAAAAATTAATAATTGACTTTCATGAGCTGGTATGAACTGGGTCCCATACATCCCTAGATATCATCATCCCCTAAACTTAACAGAATCACCAAGCTCCATGGGGAAAGCAACCGGAGCAGCAGAGACAGCAACACTCTCGAAGTATAGAAAGCTGGCTGAAGAGATCAAAATCTTATGGTTGAGCTGAGAAGCTGAGATGCACACCATCCCCATCCTCCTGTCTGCTACTGCTGTTCTACAGAGGATGCTTTCAGTGAGTCTGCAGAGGATGAATCAACATCTTCCCACTTGTAGTGAATGCCAAGAAGTAGTTTACCTGTGCTATCACCCTGCATCACTTAATATACAGGAATAAGAGAAGCCAACTTTTCCTAAGACCATTTGCATCTGAACCTTATCGAAAAAGATACAAATAAGATAAGGATAACAAGAACAAAAACAATCTCTTTATCTACCTTGTAACAGTCTGTGTAACATGAAACGTAAAAGAACGATCAAGAATAGCAACTTTTTCCGGGACTATTTATATCTGAACTCCATCAAATGAGATTTTGATGAGAATGATGGTGATGATAAGGATGCTGATAATGAGGTTGGTGATGGTGATGATGATGATACTGAAAGGTAGGATTACTTAGTTGTTAGGGTGCTAGATTTGGAGTCAGGAAGACCTTGGTTCAAATTCTACTTCAGACACTGAATTACCTGTGAGATCCTGGGTAAGTCACTTCACTTCTCTGCCTCAGTTTCCTCATTTGTAAAATGAGGAATTTGGACCCAATGGCATCTAAGCTCCCTTCCAGTTCTATATCTAGGACCCTAACATAATAATAATAATATCCAGTTACAAAAAAGCAGGTATTTCATCCACCCATATATTAGCCCACGGAGCATAAAATCTAAAATAATAGCAGGAGGGAAACTTGAACTGGTCTGCTTCTGGCCAAATATCATTGAACAATATGAAAAGAATGCAATGAATCACCATCATAATAACTGACATTTATAGAGAGTGTTAACTTGAAAATTTTAGTAGTATTTTTTTATTTTTTCCAATTACACATAAAGACAATTTTTAACATTCATTTTTTATAAAATTTTGAGTTCCAATTTTTTTCAAGAGCACTAATTTTTCCCCAAAATTTCATATACATGATTTCATTTGATTTTCACAACTCTCTTGGGAGGCAGGGACATCAGGTGTGATTATGCTCATTTTCCAGATGAGGAAACTCATCTTGAAAGTTGCATAGTCAAAGAACAAGTAGCATCAAGACTTGGCATTGGAAGATGTGAGTTCTGGTCCTTCCACCACTTTCTGCCTGTATGATTCTAGGCAACTCCCCCTCTCTGGGCTCAGTTTCCTCGTCTGAACTAATCTTGTGTGGAAAGCTATTTTCAAACCATTAAGTGCTAGCAAAAGGTGAGAGAAGGTGGATGAATGCAGAAAGTTACATTAAAAAACCAGGCTGGCGACCATGACCTTCAGATAGTTTCACAGGGAACTTCTTTCAGGCTAGGCAGTGAGCTTTTGAAAGGTTCATTGAGTACAT